TATTACCAACTCGCCGTGAGTGCAAAATGGTGGTACTACATGGAGCTGTGGCCACTAAGGATACCATCCTGGTGACATCGGTTCCCTTGTAAGTTGTTGTGGAGAGCACTTATGTTGCACTGAATGTTTTTAAAATGCAATTTTAATGTTTTATGTATTGGCCATTGGCCCCATCTGCACGCCGCCCTGAGCCCGTTCGCGCGGAGGGTGGGTTATAAATTTAAATAAATAAATAAATAAATAAAAATAAATAGATGAAGACATAGTGATGGGTTTACCTCCTCAGGTCCACAAGCCAACATCCCTTCAGACTGTCTGCATAACCCTATCTTCAAAGCCTACAGAGTGTCTTTTGAAAATATGTTTTATCATTGAATACTTTCAGTGCCTAGTATTAAAATATAATGCATTTTTGCACACAAACTAGAAGTATTTTATGTCAGTATTGATGCTGCAGAATGAAAGATGACAATTCCACTTTTACATATTTTTCATACATTATAACTTTTTTGCTTCAAAAATATAACCTTCTAAATTATTTTATGTTGCAAATTAAAGTTCAATAATGAAAGGGGGAGGGAAGATATGCCTGTATTTCACTTCCACTTCTCTTATACTGACTGAGCTGACTTTTCAAAAGAGCTGCATTTTGAAAAAAATATAACTCAAACACCAATCACATAAAAGCATCCAAGGGCTACTTCATATATCCACCATGGCTCAGTGACCTATAGTATGTAGTCTTGTTTAAATAGATGCAACAGCACCCATCAGCTGTTTGATTCCTGTTCTGGACAGCTGGGTGGTATTATTACCAATTCTTTCACTAAGGTTATTTGACTAAAAATGTGGCCACAACTACTGGATCAGTCTGGGAATCCTGTACTCTGTACCTGTAACCAGCCAGGGATATGCACAGGAAACTTGCTTCTCTGTAGATATGCCCCCTAGTCAGACTGATGCAACAGTATTTTCTAATATATCTAATATATATCTAATAAAGGAATGTAAGCAGCAGGATGACTTTCCTCCGTATATGACATCAAAAACAACAAACACAGTAATTTGTGAAGTGGCGGCGGGGGGGGGTTACTGGTCAATACATGTGGCAGTACATGTGGGATATACTGTCACAGAACTTTTGCCACACTTCACATACAACAGTATACACAATTTTCCTTATAAAGGAATAATCAGTCTGCAAGAATAATATGCACTGATTCTGATCAAGAATGACTCTACAGAAGAAGAAGAAGAAGAAGAAGAAGAGATTGGATTTATACCCCGCCCTTCACTACCCAGAGGTGTCTCAGAGCGGCTTACAATCCCTTTCCCTTCCCCTCCCCACAACAGACACCCTGTGAGGTAGGTGGGGCTGAGAGAGCTCTGACACAAACTGCTCTTTTTCAAGGACAGCTGTGCCAGAGCTTGCGACTGACCCAAGGTCACAACAGCAGGTGCAAGTGGAGGAGTGGGGAATCAAACCCGGTTCTCCCAGATTAGAGTCTGCACACTTAACCACTACACCAAACTGGCTCTCAGAAAAGAGAGGAGAGAGAACAAGGCTTCTCCCTTAGCCTGGTGGACCAGATGTCACCTAGTCGCTTCCTCTCAGAGCCGGATTAGAGGATACTGTGTCCCTAATTCTACCATGGGAATGTGGCACCATTTTATAGTTTGTTTTAACCATGGTGTGTGTGGGGGGAATGAGAGGCTCCTTTCTCCTCCCCACACCTGGTGCCATTTTCAGAGAGACAAGAGCCCCTCATTCCCCTGTGCCATGGACCTCAGCTGGACTGGGCCTTGGAGGCATTTTGAAAAGTTAAAAAACTGTGAAGTGCATCTCTGCATCTCTGTGGTGCATTTGGGGATGCAGAATCATCTAGTTTGGCTCTCAGATTCCATCAGGTGGTAGTTATCATGCTGAAGGGACAGGTAACAGAAATAAGCCCCTTTCACTCAGCAGAAGCCAGATCAATATCTATACAGATGCTAACTTAATAGATCTTAATAGTATGGTTCTTAATACTTTATTAATGTAAGCCGCCTCATGGGTTTTTTTAAAATAGCATATGGGAGACAGACAGACAGACAGACAGACAGACAGAGTGTGAAGCAGCCATAGTGCAATTCTTAGTCAAGGATATAACACTACTTTGAACTGCACTGCGACTCATTACAAAATTTTCCCTTGTATACAATAATTAATCCATTACCAAACCAAGAAAAAAATCCCTGTAATTGTTTATTGCCTTACAGTTCACTGATTGTGTATTTCAAACACAAACTTTATGGTAAATATGCAATTTTCTGTGACACGTAATTTTTGAAAAATATGGGCAAAATGTAAATCCTTTGTAATTGGCTATCAGTAGCAATCCCAATGAGTTTAAATATACCATAAAGTTGTTATTTAAATATAAGCTGTTCCAAGGTCAGCCTACTGTTTAAAATGGGCTTTTTAGGTCACAAAGAATGACCTCCATGTGGTCTCATAAAAGCTACGGCACAAGCAACAGGGATTACCATAATTACCTCATCACGCTGCAAGTAGCTAATGGGATTACACCCTAAGGGTAAGCAATTATTCACCACACACAGTGTAATGTGCTGAGAGAGGAGGCTAAATGCAAATATTATAAGGATATGATAAATAAGTTCATGCATGGAAGGGTCAAAGTCAATGGAAGCAATTTGCAACAACTTCAAAAAATAAACTCTGTAGACATTTTTTTGTTCTCAGCCTCTCATTTCTTCATACGTTATGCCAATTTTCTTGATAACATATTTTTAAACCGCTTTTTTCCATGCCCATATTTGATTGAGATGTTCTTCAAAATTTTAATTCCTGCTTTTTCACTTTTTTGAAAAACCTCAATTTTGGTCTTTTGCTTCTGAGGGACTGATCAACAAGAATTTGAAGGGGGAAAAGGTGAAATATAGCCATGTCAGTCAAGGCCAAGTAAAGAACTGAGGGAACATTTGACCCAGTGTTGAGCCAGCACTATCTGTATTTTTAACTGAAGTCTCCAAAAGTCTGCATTTCTCACCTAATGTGGCTGCCTTTAACAAAGATGTTGTTCTCTTAAACTATAGTAGTCAGCAGTTCGTGTTGCGCTTGTAGTGTACCACAGATAAGGTGGCAGTATTCTTAAAAGTATGTTAAGAAGGATGTCATTATGCTTTAAAGTTGAAATTTAATAAAATATATTGAATAAAAAGTATGTTAAGAAGGAAGTATAGATTTCTTTTCTATTGGGTTATATTTGGTGCAGTATTGAGGTGTCATTGTGTAATTGGTGTAACAGTTCTGCAAGATCCTGATGTCCATCTGCCTATACATGCTTATTCTTTTGTCTGTAAAGTTGTCAGTGTCTTGAACTTTTGTAGGGATACTTTCCTTGACAGTGGTCAACTGAATAAAGACTGTTTCTACTGAAACATAGTTTTACTTATTTGGACCCCTTTGATGGAACCCAAATTTATTCGTCACATCCATATAGGAAGTCAATTGGGATAAGTACAGCAGCTCCTCTTTACTAATACCTTATATGTCCAAGATACTTCACACTCTTGCCTTCTTCTCCCACTAGCATACCACTCAACTCTTCCCCCACCAGCAGCTCAGCTGTTCCCCACTTCCTCTGTTTTTATCGCTAAAACTATATGGCCTGGGAAATAGCCTCTTTTGTAACCACAATCTGCCTCTGCCACATAACCACGGTACTGTTTCAGTTGCTGGATAAGTAAATCCCTTGTTAGATGAAAGGTGGGGTATAAATGAAGTAATTAAGTAAAAATCAATCTGATAATACAGTAATCATTTTGATCACCTTCAGTGAGTTTAGAATGCTCATTCTTAAATACATCGATCAAGAAAAAAATTAAACAACCATTACATACCAAAATTGCCTTCAGAGTATTTTAAATTATCAGCCATCATTAGTTATTGGGAACATTTTCTAAACAATTATACACTAGGGAAAAAAGCCTTAAACTATCATTCCTTTTATGGATCTACAATATATTTATCATGCCGAAAGGTCTATCTGTATAGGTCTCCTCCCCATAGGACACACAAAGCATTCCATGACTCATTAAAAAATTGATATTTATGCCAAAGCTTGCAAAGCTCTGAATCATATTCATAGAAAGCAGACATAATACTTTACTTTATCAGATCACCAATGAAGACACTGGAGCTTTGTCCAGTGTGAGTGTATTCAGAAGTCAGGCCTTAACAATTAAAAGATGCATTCTGAAATACCTTTAACTATCAGTTCCGCATAATTAGATATTCCAACTCCACCTTCTGTATGAATCATGCACCGGTAACTGCCAGCATCCCGTTTGGTAGCATTCACCACATTAAAAATAGCTACAAATCGCCGATCATTAAAAATCTTTATGTCCTTCAGAGGTGCATCCCGTCCAAGCAAGCCCTAGTGGAAAATAAACAAATACAAAGTTTAATTTACAAATACAGCAACAAATATTGAAAATACATTTGCAGAATACTGTGTAAAACTTATTCGCTTTGGATTAAACAACCAACATTAATCTACAACATTCAGCATCTTTCAGAGCTCACTGTAGTATACTTCTGTAATTTATACCTATAAGACATAAAAACATTAGTTTTATTAAGACAAAGAATCTAAATACTACTTAACCTCAGCCACTATTTCCTTTGCCCTTCCAACACAGCTCTATGACAGTTTTCATCTTTGCATAAAATGCTTGGAGATCTACACCTTAGACTAGAGGGACAGAAAGAGGAGCTGCACTCAGTGTCTTCTATAACATCTACCAAAATAGCTTTGAATAGAACAGATTCATTTCCTCTAAATTAGTTAAAAATAGCCACTTTCAATATTTTATAACTTGGCCACATTATAGCAGTGTGACAGAGAAAGACAAGTTAGAAGACTGACATTGAAGCGGGAGATCCTTTAACATACTCAATGGATCGAAACTACAGCAAGGGAAGCAAATCTTGTGGAACAAGACTTTCCTGTCTTTGCTGTCCTGCTGCAGACCAGTGACCCCCTCCCAACATTCTGCTTCTGGGGTTGGGGACCCTCATAGACAGCATGGAGGCTAAACCAAAGTCTCCAGTGGGAAGACGAATCAGGAAAAAAAAATCCCCATTCTTCATCAATGGAAGTGACATTACACTGGCAACTCTGCACATTTGGATTCAACCCAATGCTTCTCTAAACTAGTTAGCTAAACCAGCAAAGCAGCCTAAGCACAATTTGTAAACTGGTTTGGGAAATGAGACAGAAGGTAGAGTTGCCAACCTCCATGGAGGGCCTGGGGATTTCCCAGAGTTACAACTGATCTCCAGATGACAGAGATCAGTTTCCATAGATAGATGGTTATTTTGGAGGCTGGCCTCTATTACATTATACCCCACTGAGGTCCTTCCTCTCCTCAAACCCCACCCTCCCCATGCCCCACCCCCAAATATCCAGGAATCTCCCAACTAGGGGAAGTAGGCAATCCATAGGAAGTCCATTGCATTTTTGGACCAGTTGTTGGACAGGTGAGGGAACTCACAGACAGAGAAGTTTGTGTAACTTGTCCCACACAGCAATAACAGTTGTTGAAAGGAGTAAACTACATTGGAATCAGTGGGGCTTAAGTTCTTTACAGTATTTGCCTAGCTTTCTCTGTTTTCCCCAGCAAAAGGAAAAGTAGTTTAGAGGTGATGATTTATATGGAAGAAAGGGGAAGACAAGGGAAATGGTTAAGAAGTCCTTCTCCCCCACTCATCTTCCCCTGGAAACTGCAGTGCCAGCAATAAAAATCTGGGGAAACTAATATAAATCAGTCATTTACAGTTAATACAGAGCTACACAGCACATGCATACTTCTGTCCTTATTTAATACGGAAGCAAATTATAAATTACTTGCACACAAATTAGGCATGAATGCTCTAAACATTTGGATGTAGCTTGGCACATGTATGACCAATCATACTTAGATGTGCATAAATCCTTCTTTTGCCATGATCATGTGCACAAAACTGTTATGTCTGAAATAATACATATATAATTCCACCTTGGAAACAAATTAAGACACAAAAATAATAGAGGAAGATTAATCCTGACTTAAGAGCAAGTCCAGATTTTTCTACAAGTATACAAAATATAATATTGATTAAGGAAATGTGAATTCAATTTGTTAATTTGGATGTTCAGGTGTCAACATATTTAGAGTAACCTTAATATGCTATTTATAGCCCTTTAAAAGCTCCAAATGTAGTGTCAACATTAAACTTGCTCTTGTACATAATTCATGAGGCGAAAGTCAAGGTTAAACAGATCATTATACCAAAGCAGAAGGATATTAAGCAGTAAATAACAAATTTTAATTTCTTTAATAAGTACAGCAATAATGAAGTCATTTAACTTTTACAAGTGATTTTATGGCACAGCCTTATTTAAGGAACTGTTAGAATAAACAGTAGTAAAATAACTTTAAAAGACACAGTTTGCAAAAGTTCAGGGCTAAAAGACTGTAATACTGGGAATCTGTCTGTCTGTCCACACACACAAACATACTCACACACACACTTTTTTAAAGCAAAGACTATGTTTGAACTATCAGAGGTTATTTTTCCTGAACATATATAACATATATAACATGGGGCTGCCTCTGTCGCAAATTCGGAAGCTGCAACTAGTGCAGAATGCTGCAGCCAGGCTGTTGATGCGTCTCCCTAGACGGGATCACATCCGGCCTGTGCTGAAAGCGCTGCACTGGCTGCCAATGGTGTACCGGATTCGTTTCAAAGTGCTGGTTCTTACCTTTAAAGCCCTATATGGCCAGGGTCCGGCCTTCCTAAGGCCTTTCCCCACATGTTCCCCCAAGGGCACTACGGTCGGGGAGCCAAAACCTCCTGGATATTCCAGGCCCCAAGTGCATCAAACTTGCTGTGACCAGGACCAGGGCGTTCTCGGTGGCGGCCCCTACCTGGTGGAATGAGCTCCCAGAAGAGATCTGGGCCCTGCAGAACCTTGTGCAGTTCCGCAGGGCCTGAAAAATGGAGCTCTTCCACCAGGCTTTCTAGTAGGAGCCACCGCCACCATTATTCCACCAACGCTTATTCCATCACCGCACTCTACCACCACTGGTGTGGGTATCATCGGGGGTGCGAGATGTCCCTGGCGGATGACAGGGTTGTGGGGACATATACTGTTGTTGTTCTGTTCTAACATCTCCAGAACACCATCTTGGTTTTATGGTTTGGAGTGAGTACTGGAGCACCGATATTTTTATTTTTACTAATTTTAATAACTGTATTATGCTGTATCATTGTATTTTGATACTGTTTTTATTGTTTGAATTTGGCATTTATGCCCTTGTTAGCCGCCCTGAGCCTTCGGGGAGGGCGGGATACAAATCTAAGGAATAAGATAAATAAAATAAATATTCTATAGGCTTGAGGGGGGCTGGAGCAGAGGGTGGAGCAGAGGAAACCAGAATAAATGAGACACCTGTCACCTCAACCAAAGGAATTGCATTAATGAGAAATTTCCCAAGTATAGAAAAAAGAATATTTTGTAAATTATCCCGCCTTAAAAAGAAAAAGAAAAATCATCTAGTCCTGATGAGAACTGATCATATTCTAGACTCACAGAATATTGAGAACTGCTGAGAATGAGTTTTTTCTGTAGGAGACGGAAGGGGCAGGGAAGAGGAATAAACTTTCTAAAGCTCAGGAGGGGGAGAAATGGAGGATAGAGGTGGAATTTCACTCTTGTTACACTCTCCACAGATCATAATGAACCCTCAGTTTGTTCTTAAACCGAATAATAAAGTAGGGAACCTATGTCAATCATGAAAACAGCAAAACTAGGTCACCCAAGGACTAAAAGTATCCAAAATGGCTTGAGCATCATGCATGCTCTGGGAGGCATGGAATGTTGAGCATCAATTAAAAGGGGAAAATACAGAGTAAAATTGAGAAATTAGCCTCCTCAAGATCCTAGGGCACATGGAATCTTGGAGGGTAAATTTTGCTTCAGGAGAAGGAACTTCTGAAATTGATTATTCAACCCCTACCATTCATAATGGATCCCTAATGTGTTCCTTGTAGTTAAAAAAACAAACAGTAAAGTACCTATTAAAATTCTGCCTACTCTGAAAATTATCTACTTTTACAGGGAACAAAATTTACATACTAAAGCAAGAAACCCTACAAAATACAGTCTGATGAAGACTGAGCATGCCCTAGGAGGCGCAGAATGCCAAGGACAGCTGAGCAGCAGTAAAAGCGGGGGAGATGAAAATTTTTAAAATGCTGCTTTCTTTTCATCCTTATAAGTGATGTTCATCCGTCCTTGGCATTCTGCAGCCGTTGTAAGACCATACTCCATATGTAGAATATATTTTGCATTTGTCTCCAAGTTCCTATCCCTGTCTGATTTGTCTAAAATCGATTGTAAACCTGAAGCTCATTTTACAGGAAATAGCTACCACATTCCTGAAACTGTCTCTTTATGGCAAGGCAGTTGCAGTGTGCAGCAAGCTGTTCTCTATTGGCATGCAAAAGTTTGCAACATAAAAGGTCACAAGTTTTTCTCCACGTCAGTACTAATAAGCAACAGGAATGTATTACAACAGTAAGCAGAGGAGTAACATGAATGTACCTGATTCACACAATGAGCTACTGTACCCACTGATGCAACTTCAAACAACTGCCTCATGATGACTATTTTGTGTAAGTTACGCATTAGTAAAAAAAATAGTATCCTATAAAAGCAGTAGGGGAGCCACAGGGGAGCCACAGGGATTTGTGGGGGCATCTTATTTTCCATTCCCCCATTATTTCCAATTTCCTTTCCCCAAAAGCCACCATTGCCTCTCCCCTTTTCCTGCTTCTTTCCTTCCGACCCACCAGCCAACCTACATTCATCTGACTCCCTGGCTTCCCCTTTCCCTCCTTCCCTCCCCCAGCAGCCTCTGCCTGGTAAAACTATGGCTAAGTTGTGCAGTATTGGCTGCCAGGTCAGGTCTAGTTGTGTGGTGCTGGCTGCTGGGTCTAGTTGAATGGTGGGGAACTGGCAAAAACTTGCAGAGGACATCTCACTTTCCCTTGTATCCCCCCCTCACACACTATTTCCGTTCTGTCATCCTGGCAGCCCCTGTATCTTCACCTTTCCCTGTTTCTTTTTCTCCTACCCATCTATCTTTTATCTGCCCCCCCCATCTTCAACTATATTTTAAATTTATCTATTTATATCCTGCCTTTCTCCACAATGGGGATCCAAAGCAGCTTATACCATTCTCCTTGCCTTCATTTGATTCTCACAATGACCCTGTGAGGTAGGTTAGGCTTACTATGTGTGACTGGACCAAGATCACACAGTGAGATTCCATAGCAGAGGGGGATTCAAACTGAGGCCCTGTCCACACGAGGGGTTTTGGCCTG